TGTGATACAATATTATAAAAGAAAAATCACGGAAAAATTAAAGTCACTTCGAACGAAATTAAAGGGAAAAGAAAATTTCGATAGAATTTAAAGATATTTCATATTCTCGTCAGGAAAAAGAGAAACTTTTCTAGATCCGATCATTTAATCTTTCTTCAGTCTTTTACGACTCCACACACACACACACACGATATCCTACGTGTGTGTATTAGTTAGTTAGTTAGTTTATTAGTTAGTGTCTCTCGATTGAGGACAAACGAAGAAGAGGAAGAGGAGGAGGAAGACACAACCGGACGAAGTAACGCACACACCACCAAACACACAGCCGACAGAATGTCGACGACAGTGCAGGGTAACCTTCTCGATGTGCTCAAGAAGAAGATGAGGCAGACGAAGGAGGAAATGGAGAAGTACAAGGACGAGTGTGAGGAGTATCAAAAACGGCTGCAGGTGGAAGCTATGCGCCGTGAGGAAGTGAGTGTGTAGAGCCCCATGCGCCAATTACGCGCGCGCGCGCGCGACCAACCACTGCTCTCTTTTTCTCTTATTTGTAACACGCATACACATACGTACACAAGTTTATCGTAATACACCTGAGCACGTTTCTCGATCAGTATTTTTCGTTAAATTACAATAAAACAATTTTATACTCGAATATGTTCCTTCTCTCTTTCTCTCTCTCTATCTCTCTCTCTCTCTCTCTCCCCCTCACTTTTTCTCTCTTTCTGTCCCTCTCTTTGACTTGGGATATTTGTGTATGTTGTATGTAGACAGAGAGGGAAAAAGATGAGAGAAAGGTAGGAACTAGAAAGGGTTTGCGACGCCATTTGATTCTTTGGAGTTTCTTCTTACAAGAGCCGGCATATTCGCGTGAGGATAGGAATCGATCGTGTCAGCTCGATACCGTCGTCTTCTCTCTCTCTTTTTCTCTTTTTCTTTCTCTCTCTCTCTCTTTCTCTCCCTTTCTTTCTCCAGTCTCCTTCAGGCTAAAGGGAGTCGACTACAGCGCCAGAGAAAAAGAGAAAGAGACACGCTGACTCGACGCACTCGAGACGTTCTTGATAACCGGCGAGGACCGGCTTGTCTCTCGCCATTACTCTTCTCTATCTTCCTCTTTCTTTCTTTCTTTCTTTCTTTCTATGTCATTTATCTGTCTATCTTTCTATCTATCTATCTATCATACATACATACATGGTCGCGAGAGTCCACGTCTCTCCTTCCTTTTCACAAATATTCCTATTATTCCTTCTCTCTCTCTTTGTCCTTTTTTTTTCTCTTTCTCTCTTTCGTTCAGTCGATCGAACAGAAATCTGCCTGATCTGTCGGTCAACTTAAATCTTAACTTTCTCGTGTCGTATCTTATCAACTTCATGACCGAAATGCTTAATTTTTAGGTTAGATTTTTTCATTCAAGATCTTTTCATCATTTTCAATCATGTTCATTCGGAATTGTAGTTACTAATATGGTTACGTTTCCAAAGTCCTGCGTATCAACGACGTTCTAGTTTAACCAACGAGAAATGGGGATCGATAGATGTTATCGAACGTTCCGGGGTGGATGTACTCGTTTCAAGAGGTCACGACAAATTTATTATTCAAAGCTAACTTATACTTTCTTCCGCGTATCGTCATTTTTTGTAAACTCGTTAAAAGGTCGTTACATCATCAACCAGATATGTCAAATTAATCATTTTTCTTTTAGTTGAAAAAATTGTTCAATGTAATGCGTACTTTTAGTTGAGAATCACTGATACTGATTGATTATCGACTTGGAATTGTCCGAATGTTATTCTGTAATTTTGCTAATTTTATTTGAATTATTTCATAGGTATAATATTAGGAATATATTGAATTATATATAGGATGGGTTAAAATAAAAGTTCATAGGATAAGTTTTAAAGTATTTTGATTTAAAAATTATCGAAGTTTCATCTTCATTCGTTTATTTGCTACCTTACGTGTAACCTTTACATTTACAAGTATTAGAACGTTAAAAAAACATTCGGAAAACTTTCACTACTTCACACTTTCTCTGAATATCATTTCGCAAAACTAACCTTACCATCGATCTTATCTTTCGTACGCAATAGAAGATAATATCACTGTTTTGTTTCCAATATAAAACGCGAAATTCATCGAAAGAATTACTTTATTTTCAATCGATAAATGTCTTCATGATTACCACTACCTCGCCCCGAATGTTTGAACATTGATTATTTCGCAGAAAAGTAAAATGTTCTCATCGGTCGACTTTGAAAAAACATATTTTATACGTTAAGATAACTTTTGTATCTGCTCTGTATGTCTTTTGTTTAAGCGAATACAAGAATATATGTTGTTTGACGTATTAACGTCATCTCCAGGTTGAGATACGTCACAAATGTCATAACTTATAGTCAAACAAACGTTTCTTTGTGTAGTATTCAATAAATAAATAAGTAAAAAAAAGTAGATATTACAATTAAAAAATATTATCTTTAATAAATGAGATAATAAATTAATGTACGGACGTTCGCCATTTATAATTTTGATTCAAGGTGGCGTTTTCTTGGATTGTAGTTAACTCCATTTTTTTTTATATACGATTAACTTGTCATGTGTATGAGATTATTTAAAAAAGAGAAAAAAAGAAAAGGATCTACAGGGATTTTTGTAGATAATTATTTTTCATCCGTTTTATTATCTCGACGTGATTACGTAACTCCTCATGTAAGAAAGATAAGATAAGGTTTGATTTTTTGACTGTAACCGTAGTGAAGGCGAGAACAATCATGAGATAATCCGATGACATTCACCAATGTAATACGTTTATAAAAGAGTTAGAACAAAGTAAATAAGTATTAAAAAAGGATTTTTTAAAAGACCAACGGATATTTGTTCGAGATCCGTTCGGGCTTCACTAACCGGCTTTTGTCGTTGATCAGCCAACTGCACTACCGTATCTTCTAGTATAACCTCTCTTTTCCTTATTATTAATCACATTTATCTTACTTTATTTCCTTTGGTATAATTTATTTTCGTTACACAATAATAAAATCTTAAGTTTTATTCGATTTTTCTTTGAAAAAAAATGGAAGTTTATGTAAAGGCAACTGCAGTACAGCGTGTCTTCCTACATTTTTATTCTTCTTCCTCATATTTATTTTTTCGGTGCAATTTATTTTAATTACTCATTGTCAGATTAAAATTCTGATTTTTATTTTGTTTATTTAGGGGAAAAAAAAAAAGGATTTTTTCGTGCCACTCCCAATGACAGACAAGCATAGAAACGTAAATCGATCAGGGTATATTGAATTAGGCGGGAACTTTGATTGAGTGTTACACGCATCGAGAGAACATCGAGTGGTTTACATAACAGGAGAACGCGTGTTCTAAAGCGGATGTCATCGCTCCTCCGGAAGGTGCTCGATCGTCCATGCTGACATCCGTTTCAAATCTGTCGAAAAAAAACAAATTTCTCTATCCATTCTATTCCAATAAAATAAGGAAAACATTTTTCCATTGTGTCAGATAGCACTTTATCAGAGTCAAATTAATGGAAGGTGTGCCAAGAATTTCTAAATGATTTTTAAAATATCATTTATTTTTTACCGAGAGACTTCTTAAAAATCAATTTAATTTGAGATTATAAGACTAAAATGTTAATTAATGAAAATGCAAACTTAATTACGGAACCTAAAAGGTCTTTAACATGAGTAATAAATTTTTAAAATCACTTAGCCATTATTATTGGCTTACCCTCTAAAATAGTTTCATGTATTTTTAATTAAAAATAAAATTTTTGTATATTAATTTAAATATTAATTTATCTTAACAAAAAATTAATTATAATAAATCTATATTTTTTGTATATAGTAATGTAATAGTATAATTTTGGAAAGGTGTCGTATTAAGAACGGAAATTCGACATCCTCTTAGGTTAAAGTTAAAACAGGAGGGCCATTAACGCGGATTGCGAGTTCGCTTGGGTGGGCGTGTCAATTTCCTCTGAATCTACATATAACCTTTATATAGGTACGATATAGGATCATATATGTATATACCTCTATGTATACCTAAGCATACTTACATGGCAAAGGTAAAATGATCGAGGACAAAGACCAGACTATGTTCGTACTAGGGCAGGCCATTTAATCGTTAAATACAATGCGTAATCGTTGCAGGTGCAGTCGTTAAAATATAAAAAGAATAAAATGGTCACGTGTCTCGCATACTAATTTTCTAGGTTATTATGTATAATCAAAGAATTTCAAAAAAAAAAACATTGATCCTTATAATGGCGCCATTTTGAATTATTTTATCAATTTTGTATGTAAAATTAATTGGGTCAATTCATTCGTTTAAATTAATCGACAAAAATGATTAATACTCGACGACAAATTTAAATGCAAATGTGTTTGTAACATTTTTTTTTCTGTTAGAATCGTAGGTGTCGAATAGAATATAATAGTTAATGACTAGTCGTGCTATTAAACTCGTTGATGTAATGCGTTAGCCGAAGGAAGCTTAGGTCATTGATATGCGCTCAAAGACCTTGACGATCTCGTGCCGTGTATATAGTCCGTTAGAATGGACTTTAATCACGTGCCGTGGCGTTAAGAATTAAAAGAGAAATTTTCGTTATAGTTAAGTCGGTCAATGTGAAACTAAATTAAATTTGTAAAATTAATTTTTTTTTTTTTTTACCATTTTTTTTTTTTTTTTTTTTTATTCAAATTAATTTTTTTCAATGGATTTGTGTTTTATTTTATCGACCGAGTAACCGATGTTGGGACTTGTGTTAGCATTATTATTATTATTATTATTATTATTATATAATTTATTGATTTAAAAGTAAAAATTATATTTTCATACGATTTATAAATGTAAATTATTGTTTAATATTGATAGAAAAATGATAGAATAAATTTTTGCATAAAATAAGTTATATTTGTACAAGTTTTGGGTAGTTCTAATTATCTTAATCTAAAGTTTGTATTTTTTTATTTTTATTTCTCCAGGCCGAATCCGAAGTTGCTGCACTCAATCGTCGTATTCAACTTTTGGAAGAAGACCTCGAAAGATCCGAGGAACGTCTTGCTACTGCCACTGCCAAATTGGCAGAGGCATCTCAGGCAGCAGATGAAAGCGAACGGTAAGCGAGCATTTATTATTTTTTATTTAAAAATATTCATTCGTGATAAGAATATCAAAAAAGAAAAAATAAGATGTATATCTTTTCATTCCAATGAATTGATAATTTCTTTTTTCTCCAAAAAAAACAAAACCAAAAAAGAAATCTAAAAATACAAATATTTAGTTAATTGCAAGTATAAAATTAAGATTGTTCATTCACATGATTTTATTGCATTGATTTGTTTATAATTATCGATACATTGGAGTATTCTCAGTTTTTACGATAGAGATGCTATTTATTCATATTACTATTATATTTTTATTAATAAAAATATTTTTTAGTATTTTATATGTTTATTTTTTTGTTCTGTGCTTTATTCTTAAAATCTTGTGTATAATCTAAACTCGAATGTTAAAATATATTTCAAACATAAGAAATAGATAACTTTTATTATCAACAGCCAATTTATCAATCATTCTAAGTATTGCAATCATTAAATAAGTTATTATTATTTGAAAGAAAAATTAGAAATTTCTGATAAAAGCTGATGAAAAATTATTCGATTAAAAATGAATAAATAACAGATCTATCATTTTAAATTAGAATTAGATAAATAGTATAATGATAGTAAAGATAAAAAACGAAAAAACATACAAATACAAATCACAACTTATTATTTTCTTTTTTTTTTTACAAAACCATTGCACATTTATAATTAAGTTTAAAAAAAAAAAGGAATGCAAAATTAAATTCGTTTTTTATCTTTATGGAAACCATAAACGTTTTAGTATGATTTTAACAAAGTTTAACATCTTAACGATCTGCGACATTTAAAAAAAAAAAATGAAACCAAGAAGAAAAATTGATATAAACGTGGGAGAGCGAGGAAATTGTTATCTTCACTATAGAACACATTTTATTTTTAAACTAACACTTTGGCATATGATGATCGAAGAAATAAACGTTCATATATTTAATAATAAAGTCACTCTTTTTATTCAAATCGATGGTCAATCGATAGTAAATGTTACGTACTTATAGTTGCTTATAATAGTGGTGAATCAAGCGTTAAACGCACCGAACTATAATAGTTATGTTTTCCGATCGTCTACATGCACGTATATTCTCATATATACTTAAGTACGTGTTCAAAAAAAAAATGTTCGTTGATGTCAAGTTGTCTCATACGTGTGGGTATAAAATCATCGTTGACTCAATTATTTCTCGGATACAGCCTAGACATTCAATTAATTTCATCCACTTTATTCAAAAAAATATTGTATTTTATTTATTTATTCACAGTGACATCAAAGTTAAAATTTACATCCAATTATTTAGGAAAAAATTATTAAATAAATTACGGTTGAAAATAATTTTGAAAGATAATTGTAACATTTTATAATTATTCATGTTTCTTTTTTATAAACAAAATAATACTAAATTTAAATTAAATGTTGCTCGCTCTTCTATAAATAAATTTTAGATTTAGAAACATTATAACTAATATTTAATTAACATTTCGACGTTGAAAGAATCATTAATAAAATATTCTAATTGTTTTTTTTTTTTTTTTTTT